ATAATAAATAATAATAAATAATAGCAAATAGTAATAAATAATAATAAATAATGATAAATAATAATAATAATAATAATAATAATAATAATAATAATAATAATAATAATAATAATAATAATAATAATAATAATAATAATAATAATAATAATAATAATAATAATAATAATAATAATAATAATAATAATAATAATATAATAATAATAATAATAATAATAATAATAATAATAAAAGTGGTATTTCTACTTCTTTCGATGTTTCATATTCCAAAAGCTTATGTAAGCAAACGGAAATTTCATTGCGCATACTTCAATTATGGCGTGTCGTCGTCTTTCATTAATCTAATTTTCTTTTATTCTTCATTTCTAAACTATGTACATAGCTCAGTAATTCACAATGACACTATATCGCTGTATACTTAGCTCTTTGTGTGAATGGTAAAGAATTGATTCAAAGATAATCTACCGTAGTCTATGCCAAAGTATTTTCAAGGTACTGAAAATGAAAATTATGAATGTAACAGATCAAATGGTCTTTAGTTCCTTGTTTAAATCTTTTGATCTTAATCTAGGATACAATAATCATTCATTCCTGTATATTTCACTCATTTATTTATGCCAGTTGCATAGTATGTGTTATATATATAATCTTGAAAATGTTAACTTTTGGAATCATACATGTCATGACATTATCACTGATAAATTCACGTATATATCCATATTTAATGATTATTTGTACCATATCACTCAGTTGAAAATGAAGTGAAAGCGAGTAAAAGCAATAAGATATCTGCATTCGACACCAATTTCGAAAAATATTATAAATTTAATTCCAATATTACCTTGAAGTTATTTATCTAATATCTTTACAAAATTTCCTTCTAAATCTTTTGCTTACATAGCAAGTGAATAAAATTCGACTGCGGTATTGCGGTATTGAAGTAATATATTATCGTTTGTTTGGTACCACAGTATGGTATAGTTCTATAATCAGTTATGGTCTAGAGAACTTTGTCAGGTACCACAGTATGGTATAGTTCTACAAAAAATATTGCAGATTATGTTGTTATTCCAGCAGCAAAAACGACAGGTGACAGCTAATCGTAGCTTCATCACCCAATCACATTCGAATATCAGCGGTTTTTTTTAGAATTTAAACTTTTGATTCTATTAAATAGCAATAAGATTTTACCATCGACTGTTGCAACAAATCCGCCTAACTTGCCTTATGTTTCGAAGAAGTAATAGTTGTTTACATTGGATGAAACTTACATCGGTAAAAATGTCACATGAATATATACCTATACTACTTTCCTGCTATTATAAAATTAGGGTTTAGGTACGAATCAATTTCAGATGAACATCTTTAAGGATACCTGTTCACTGACCCATACATTTACTTAAGAAATTAACTGCCTTTATTGGAGATTTAAAAATATTTTTATTTCCAAAAAGTCAAGATGTAACTTTTTAATCTGAATTCCAAATAGGTGATTCGAATTGCTTCTGAGATCGAATGTTGATAGATGAGATTTTCTAGTGGGTGATACGAATGAGATAGATTGAATCATAACATTGGATTGCAATTTAAATATTTTATTTGTTAGTTTTCATACTTGAAATCATAATATTCCATTCAAGTAACAATCTTTCAGATCATTTCTTCACTTCATTTTTCAGTAATGAAATTTTGCAGGATTTTACAGTCAATCAAAAACTGCGAAGCATTACATTTACAAAACGATTTCAAAATTTACTGTCATCATTAAAATACTAATGTACGAATTGGATATGATAATGTGATTAAAATATGCATTTTTATTTAAATTACATTTCTGATAGCTCATTAATTTTTAATCAAAAAGGCAAAAATTTAAAGCACAGTTACTCTAATAAAGATTAGAGTGTATGTTAGAAATAAATAAAGTCTTCAATGAGTACTCCCACAAAATACCAATAGAATTAGTTAATCGATTTCATTTATGGGAATTCAAATATCACGTGACAACCAATCTAAATCATGCTTAGTCATTTCATGCAATCGTCATTTTTTTGAAGTAAGATTTTTGAAAATCCTCTGTTACCCTAATAGCTTCTTGATGAGCTTTGATGTTTACTTACAATTAACTGTAGTATATCCATGTTATACATCCATGTACCGTGTATTAAGTAATTACCTGTGATGTACACGTATATTACCATATGCGGTATTTGCATTTTAATGAGTATATTTCACTTCCTTCCGTTCGTTTATTATGAACAGAAGCTCTTAATTAATTAAAATTTTGTACTCGTTCCAATAACTAAGTATGGAAATAATAGCAACTGCAGTAAGATTGTTTAATTAGAATTGTAGCAAATAGTAAAGGCAAGAATACATATTGTGAAATTGTAAATACTCAAGGTAAGATAATCATCAAAACTTTTCGAAGCTGAAGAAAAGTTTGAGAGAAATTTCAACTATCAACTAGAGTTGAAATTTACTTACTTTTCTTTTGCAAAGATATCGCCTTAAAGTGAAAACTACCATACAAATGCTTGACCTCATTCTTTCTTTCAGAAAAAAAAGTTTTTGTTAACTTTCTGTCTTATTTAATTAAGCCCTTCTGTACACTATTTTCCTCCTTCAACGTCATCTGCACTATAAAATTTTAACTAAGCAATTGGCATACGGTACGTAATATAGGTCAAATTTTTAAACAAATATATAAAATTTCGATAACTTTCGTCATGTTCCCCTCCAACTTTCCCAAATCGCCAAAATTTTTGCAAATTGGTCACAACAACTTTGAAGATATGACCTGTGGTCACCTTTCATTTCTTATCTATTTTCTACTTTTACTCCTTTTCTTGCTCGATTAAGAACAAGATCATCCGAACAATATTACACTGCTAACATTACCGCATGCAGTACAATGAATTTTTGCGCCACATTAGGCGGCCATCACATTGGACTACTTAACAGTTTCACAATGTTATGAAACAGATTTGGCAAAAATCATTACAGCTTGAACCCTGTTGACATATTAGCAGTAGGAGTAGAAGAGTAGCTGCACTTTTTTGAAGTAATCGGAAATGATGGCCAAGCAAGTAGCCAAAGCCGGTATTCAATTCAAGAATCAAAATTCACTTTCGACAATTTCGACTTCTATAATTGGCAGGTAATAACATTATTTTGCCATCATCTCATCATCATCCACCGATATGTTCAAATCATTACCTTCACATGGATTACGTCAAACAGTATGTCTTGATCAAGTCGCCTTCTGCAGAGAACAATCTTTTTTATAATAGAAGTAAAGGATGAAAACAAGGATGATGACCTCTAGGAGACAAGTCAGACATTATCGAGAAACCGTAAGTGATTTATTCTCACCAATTCCTTTTTTTGCTTTAATTTTTGGTGGTTAATTGGCTTAGTTAATTATTGGGTCCATCTAAGGACAAGAAAACTTTCTGCTGTTATATATTGCTTGGGTATACAAACTCTTTGCTGGTACGACGAAAAATGAGGAATATTTGCGGAAAAGGAAATTTGTTAGTCTCATTTTTGTGTTCTGACAGTTATTCGTTTATATAACTTATTGCAAGTCACATTTATGCCCTCCTCTGAAAGCTTTAAATTGTCGAAAAAAATTGTTCTGTGCGGAAAATTTTCGCTGACCAGTGGTTAGCAATTTCATAAAGGTCAAGTAGATATGAAATAGGCTCGAATTAGTAAACTGACTATATCTTCAGACATGAGATTATATTTTCTTTGTCATAATACTCAATAATAGACTTCATCACTTCTTTATTCTTTATCTGTAAACATATTTATGTTCTTTCTTAAACAAATAGATTATGAAAAAGCAGGAAAAGATCAAAATTTTTTGTAGCTATAGTTGATAGCATTAATGACGACAGTGAAGGGAACTTTATCAATCGGAAACAATGAATTAAAATTAAAAATGAAGTATTAATAAATCCTCTGGTTTGACAGCCATGAAGAGAGTAGTGACCAAGTATAGTGACCATACAAAGAGTAGGAGCCAATTTCAGTATACAAGTTGTAAACCTTTCAAAGCTGGAAGAAGGTATTTCTGAGCCAAACAGTTCTTTATATTTGCTATAAAATAATTGATATTTTAGTAACGATAACAACAAATCTGATTTGAATTAGATCGAATAAGGCATTATTTTAGAAGAGAGTTATGAATAATTAAATCAATTTAATTCTTTAGGTTATAAATACCTTTTTGATGAGCCAATGGAAAAGAGTGTTGTACATGAATTGCAGATGATAATAATGCTTTTGGCTGTTTCTACAGTTTATGGTTCTGAACATTTTGAGAAACTTTAAGATTGGAATTTTTATATGGAAATTGCTAAGTCTTTTAGCATTTAGAATGAACTAATTTCGTCTTTTCGATGCTAACAAGCTAGCAGAATATTGTGATGTAATGTCTTTTTAAATGTTAACTCAAAAAAGGTTTCCTAAGTAGTTTCTTAAATTTTTTCCGTTTTCAACAGGTTGTACGATCAAATGGTTCTTTTTTATTTCACTATTCTCAATGAAAAATCGAATATGCTTACTTTTGTTTTTGTACTGAGTTTGTTGTAAGATATTTAAAAAAATTTAACTTGTTGTTTCCATGTTTTGTTTACCACATAGTACAAATATAAACAATATAGAGTGGTGACATGTCGCCATATGTATTCGCTTTCAAGTTTTATGCCAATGTACTAGTTAGCTAAACTAGTTTGCTTCCAATTCCAGTTTATTGAGTAAACTGCTCACTTAAACCACTTTTCCTTTCATTCAACTTTTTTTTGTTCAAGTTTTTTTTCTTTTCGAATTCTGAATCATTTGATATGACACTATAACGAATGAAACGGTAAATGTAACAACTACGACTTTTTTTAAATCTTCATAACTATGTATGGTAAGAGAACGTATACAGTATGATAATTTAAATCAAATGCAAAGAATTATTTGGATAATCATTCCTTTAAAGACCTTTGAAATTTTTTTAATGGTTCAATAAAAGGTTTTTGTTATCTTCATGACAACATAAAAAGCTCGAATAAGCAGAATATTGAAATTTGTTCATTTCATTCAAGCTTATCAAAAGTTTATCACACACTTCTCCTTCGTTTTCCTTTTTTTTTTGTGATAGGAACTACAGGAAGAACAGCGTCAGATAACCGAAGTATTCCGAATAAATTTTCAGAATCAATCAGTAATTTGCTAATATCTGGCAGTTTCCCAACAAATCGTTTAAATTAAATTTGTCATATTAATAGTTTCAAGTTATAATTACTCCAAGTACTTCCTTGTCTTACTGCATTTCTATTTCTCATGTTCTATTTATGTGATTTTTGAATCAGTCAAACTTTATCTGCCATTTCTTGAATATGCAAAATAATTATATTAATTGCGATGCAACTCTCGTACAGTGATTTAATTTCGGGATCGAACTAGAACTTATGCCGATGATTAAATTAAGATTATACCATTGTTGAATTTACATTTTAATGTTGAAAAGCAAGAAAACTGGAAATATAGCCAGAGAATGAACTTAAGTAAATTAAATGAATTATATGATCAAAAGTTGTGTCGCCTTATACAGCAGAACTGGAACTTATATTGGAATTTACGATCGTTGCAAATTTTGCTCCAATTGACCAGAAATTTCTCAATGCATTTCTATGCATAATCGGTTTACACTCACACATAGTTCCTTGCAACATCAGTTCCGCATTAATTTATCCGATTCCGCATGCCGCATTATAAATTTATTATTTAATGTTCGATTACTAACTGAACAATCCCTCGAGCCGGATATATATATAAGATCATTGCTCTATAATTATTAAATTTCTATTATTTTCTAACGTACGAAGAAAACTTTGTAAGTTAGTAGAATTTATTGCATTTTCACCATTTAATTTTCCTTTTTTAAGCTAAAATAAAAACAAGAAGGGTAAAATAATAAAATATTGGAGTAGTAAAGAAGGATGAACTTATTTCATCTCTATATGTGAAGGATGAACTTATTTCATCTCTATATGTGAAGGATGAACTTATT